GATGCAAGATGCCCAACTTTGTTGATCCTCTAAGTCTCACGTGATCTCTGGGTCCCTGAAGCCAAAGGTCTGTGTCATTTGGTCCTGCTGGAAACTAAGGTCCCCACAGGCTGGAAGCACTGAGGCCAAAAACTTCTGCACTGCCCCAGCATATGGTCGACCATCACAGGCCTTGAGGACCTATAATCAGAGATGAGATTCATGGTCCCACCTTCACCCACCACCCACCTCCACCCCCAGGACAACATTTGTCTTCCTGATTTCCCTCTTACCCAGGCCCTTCCTCCTCCTGCCCTTTTTCTCCCTCTCTCTCATTTTACTTCTTGTCAAGACCCTGGGCCCTCTCCATGGGATGTAATGAAACATTTTTATTTCCATTTCCCAATTTCCCTGCCCTCCCCTGCCCATCACTGCCCATCCCCCTCCACACACACACACACACACATACTCTGGTCCTGTAGTCTTCGGTGAAGATAATTCCATGGGCATCCAAGTCAAAACCCAGCTGGATGATTCTGATCTCTCCCTGCTCTTGAAGCTCCTTCTGTCTCCAGAGATGGAAGTGAAGAGAAAGTCATGGTAAGACACTCTGCTATATTCCGGGCACCTTGGGGCAGGGATTTTGTTTACCAGTACTGGGGCATTTTTACTGTGTGGGGAGATAACTAGGTACATCAAGCAGCCTTTTCCAACTACTTACCCATCTCCCATCTACCTGCCTTATGAGTTATCTATCAAATAATCAATATTTTTTTTCTAAAAATAGACCCATGCCAGATTAAATGCTGATTAAGACTCAGGCCCTCCCCTCAAGGAATTAGTAGTCTGGAGTTGGGGGAAAATGAGGAGAAATATTAGATAAAATGTTTAAAATAATAATAAACCAGGACTTCTGTTTGCAGAAATACAGCAAGAACCAAACCATCTGTTGAAAATTAACTACAATGCTTGATAAGGGCTGAGGGCATGGCTTATAGTACAGGTACAGCACCTGCCTAACAATGCTTGATAAAATATTATTTAAGCTTTTGGTGTCAGTAGCCCTCCCATAATCACAGTTACTAAAACTTGCCAGACTTTCTGTAAAAAGTGCAGCAAGCACCAACCTCACAAAGTGACACAGTACAAGAAGGGCAAGGATTCTTTACATGCCAAGGGAAAACAGCATTATGATAGGAAGTGGAGTAACTATGGTGGGCAGACCGAGCTAATTTTCCAGAAAAAACCTAAAACTACAAAGAAAACAGTGCTGAGGCTTGAGTGTGTGAGCCCAACTGCAGATCTAAGAGAATGCTGGCTATTAAGAAATGCAAGCATTTTGAACTGGGAAAAGATAAGAAGAGAAAGGGACAAGTGATCCAGTTCTAAGCTCCATCTTTTGTTTTTTTAGGAAGAAAATAAAATCATGTGGTCAAAAAAATATTATTTAAAAATTGTTTAAGTATTAAAGAGCTTACAAGACAATAGGAATTACCAGAGTAACAACATCTAATTGGAAATAAGAACTCAGAGAGAACCGAACATAATGAGGGCACTTGCTGATCTAAGCAACTCTGTTCAGCACATGGACAAAAATAACAAGGGTACACAAGGAAACAAAGCTCAAAAGAAACAGACCCTAAAAGATACATGCAATAGTGGAATTATTTTTAAGGCTATTTTTTTAATGAGTACCAAAATAGTTACATAGAGGAAAGGATTCTACTGTTCTACAGCAATGATAGAGGAACTATAGTTCACAACAACTTATTACATATTTTATAAGAAATTAAGAGAAAGATACAGCTCAGTGGTCGAGTGCTTGCTCAGCATGTGCAAGAACCTAGACTTGATACCCAGAACTACAAAAAAAAAAAAAAGAAAGAACTAAGACAGGAGTTTGAAGGTTCCCAACACAAAGAAATGAGATAGAAATACTAACTACTCTAATTTGCTCATTATATATTATATACATATAACAAAGTATCACATAGTGCTCTAGCAATATGTACACTTATTTTATGTCAAAAAGATTATCTTAAAAAAATTATGTTCCTAGTGCTGAAATAAAAAGCCAAGATGGAAAATATCAGTAGGGAATCATAAAAGGACATATCAGGTTTAAAAAATGTCTATGTAGAAAATCGAGATGTGAAAAAGAAAGTAAATGAAATTAAGACCTTATAAATCAGGTTTGAAAAACATCTAAGTAGAAAATCTAGAAGTGAAAAATAAAGTAAGTCAGGTGCCAGTGGCTCATGCCTATAATTCTAGCTACTTGAGAAGCTGAGATCAGGAAAATCATGGTTTGAGGCCAGCCCAGGCCAATAGTTTGTAAGGCCCTCATCTCCAAAATAACTAGAGCAAAATGGACTGGAGATGTGGCTCAAGCCCTGAGTTCAAACTCCAGTCCTATCAAAAACATAAGTAAATGAAATTAAGACCTTAAATCTTATGTGTTGAATAAGGATATGTTGAATGCATTAGGCACAGATGAATAAAAAACTATTAATCTGCAAGAGAGATTTTAAAAACTACTTGGAATACAAGGAAGAGAGTAAAAAATATTGAAAATACATAAAAGGCTACTAGAGACTTAAAGAATACAAAGAGAAGGTCAAATGTATATTTAGGTCCCAAAAAAAAAGAAGATGACAAAGTAGGGGAGATATACCCTACTTTAATGTAAAGATATACCCTACTTAACTTTTATGGTATATTAATATACCATAGACGTATATTAATCCAATTCTCATAAATTCACAGAACAAAAGAACAAAATAATCATTTCAATAATGACCTTAGCTATCATGAATTAGTAACTGAATAATAACATATTATTTTCAAGTATACATATAACACTTATCAAAACTGACCTTAAAATACAAAGCAAGCCTCAATAAATTTCAAATGACTGAAATCACAATGTGTACATTCTCTGGCCACAATATCACTTATGCCAGAAATCAGTAATAAGGTAAAAGAAAATATGACATTCATTTCTAATCAACCCAATAAGTCAAAGAAAAAAATCACAAAGGAGATTAGAAAATATTTCAGATTAATTATAAAAATACATACCAAACCTTACTTCTTTCTCTTGCGCTCTCTCTCTCTTTCTCTCTCTTGCTCTCTCTCTCTCTCTCACACACACACACACACACTTAGAAACTACATTCTTACATGCTATAGTAATAAAGATGAAAAATAATGGGAAAAGACTGAAATCACAATGTGTACATTCTCTGGCCACAATATCACTTATGCCAGAAATCAGTAATAAGAAAATATGACATTCATTTCTAATCAACCCAATAAGTCAAAGAAAAAAATCACAAAGGGATTAGGAAAATATTTCAGATCTAATTAAAAAATACATACCAACCTTACTTCTTTCTCTTGCTCTCTCTCTCTCTTTCTCTCTCTTGCTCTCTCTCTCTCTCTCACACACACACACACACACTTAGAAACTACATTCTTACATGCTATAGTAATAAAGATGAAAAATAATGGGAAAAATAAAGTTAAAAAATTGAGAGAAAACAGAATATAATACAGAAAGCACAGAAAGAAACAAGGCCAAAGAATTTATTTTATTTTGTTTTGTTTTGTTTTATTAAGATAGAGTCTTGCCATGTAGCCCAGGCTGGTCTGGAACTCTCAGATTTTCATTTTTTTCTTATAATGCTGGGCACTGAACCCAAGGCATTATATATGCTAGATAAGCGCTCTAGCACTGAGCTATATATCCAGTCCTTGACCTCGAACTCTTGCTCTCCCTGCTCAGCCTCCAGAATGCTGGATACAGGCATGTGCCACCATGAGCAGGTAAAAGGCTGATTCTTTGAAAGACTACTAAACTGTTGGCCCAAGCCTGTAATCCTAGCCCTTGGGAGGCAGAGGCAGGAAGATAACAAGTTTGAGGCCACCATGGCCTACACAGCAAGACACTGTCAAAATAAGGAAGGGAGGCTGAACACTGGTAGCTCATGTCAGTAATCCTAGCTACTCAGGAGGATTGCAGTTCAAAGCCAACCAGGGCAAATAGTTCGTGAGACCCTATCTCAAAAAAAAAACCCATCACAAAAAAGAGCTGGTGGAGTGGCTCAAGGTGTAGGTCCTGAGTTCAAGCCCCAGTACCACAGAGGGAAAAAAAAAAAAAAAAAAAAAAGGAAACGGGGTGGGGAGGGGGAGGAAGGGAAGGAAAGAAGGTAACACACATGCACAAGAAATTAATGTGAGTCAACTCCCTGTATAGCTATCCTTATCTCAACCAGCAAAAACACTTGTTCCTTCCTATTATGGCTTATACTCTCTCTACAACAAAATTAGAAATAAGGGCAAAATAGTTTCTGCTGGGTATTGAGGGGGTGGGGAGGAGAGGGAGGGGGCGGAGTGGGTGGTAAGGGAGGGGGTGGGGGCAGGGGGGAGAAATGACCCAAGCCTTGTATGCACATATAAATAATAAAAGAAAAAAAAAGAAAACTAAATTCGGTAAGCCACTGGCGAAAATGACAAAGGAAAAGGGTGAGAAAGATTAGAAAAAGCACAGGTAATCAATATAAAGAATAAAAAACAACACTGGGGTACAGGTCAAATGGTAGAGTACTTGCCTAACAAGCATGAGTTCCTGAGTTCAATCTCCAATTCTGCCAAAAAAGAAAAAAAAGCAGGCTGGAATACCTGTAGCACTTGGGGACTAGGGCAGGAGGATCATGAGTTCCAGGCCAGCTAGAGCTACATAGTGAGACCCTGTCTCAACCTCCTCCCCACAAAAAGAAAAGATAAATGAAAACTCGGTCATCAGTTCAGACTTTACAGAAAATAACATGAGATTACAAGCTCTGTGGCAATAAATTTGAAAATTTAGATGAAATTTATAAATTCCTAAAAAAAATAATTTCTTTTACCAAAGTGGGCAAATTAGAATAGATTTATAACATGAAAATCTATGAGATGAACTAACCAACAGCTACATAGAACTTGGAAAAATCTCAAAAATATTTGGCCAATGAAACAGGAAATAAGATTTTGTTGTTGTTGTTGCTGTTGTTGGCGGCACTAGGGTTTGAATTCAGGGACTCACACATGCTAGGCAAGCATTCTACCACTTGAGCCATGCCCCCACCCTTTTATAACAAGATACAAATAGTGTCTTAGTCTGTTCTTGCACTGTAACGAAAATATCTGAACCTGGACAATCAATTAATAACAGAAATTTATTTCTCAAAGTTCTGGAAGCTAAAATTCAAGGTCAAGGTGGCAGCAGGTTCATTGTCTGGTGAGGACCCAGTCTCTGCTTCCAAGATGGCACCTGGTTGCTGTGTCCTCTAAAGGGGAATGAACATTGTGTCTCCACATGGCAGAGGATGAAAGGACCAGAAAGCTCTCTAAAGACTCTTTTATAAGGGCACTGACCCCATTTATGAGGGCAGAGGCCTAATAACCACATCCCCAGGAGCCCCACCTCTTAATATGATTACACTGGGTGTTAGGTTCCAAAATATTAATTTTGGAGGGACATATACATGCAAACCATAGCATTCTACCTCTGTTCCCCTAAAATTTATGCCCTTCTCACATACATATGTTCATGCCATCCCAAAAAGCCTTAACTTGTTCCAGTACCTATTCAAAAGTCTAAAGTCCTAAGTCTCAGCTAAATAAGATATGGAGGAGACTCTGATGTTCATCCTTAGGTAAACTGTTCTCTAGCTATAAACCTGTAAAATCAAATAAGTGCTGCCAAGACCCATCTAAGTCGGTAGTAGAGCACTTGCCTACCATTTCTTAAGCTCTGGGTTCACTCCCTAGCACCAATATAAACAAGCAAAAATAGTCCTTATGTTTGAACTTAAACTCCAAAGTGATGGTATTAAGAAGTAGGGCTTTTGGGAAGTGAGTGGGCCATGAGGGCTCTTCTCTCATAAACAGAATTAATGTCCCCTTATAAAAGAGACTTCAGACAGCTGCCTTGCTCTTCTATTTTTTATGTCATGTAAGAATACAGCAACTTGCTAGATGGAAGCAGAAAGAAACAGCCCTTACCAGATACTGAATCTGCTGGTACCTTGATCTTGGAGTTCCAGTCTCTAGACTGAAAGAAATAATTTCTGTTGTTTATAAGTTACCCAATCTCAGGTATTTTGTTATAGCAGCATAAACAGACTGAAAGACATATAGTATGATTTCACTTGTAAGTGAAAAAATAGGTAAAGTTAAGCTATTTATTTATGAATATACATATAGGAAGTATAAAGAAAACCAAGGGAACAATTGTTGGGGTAGTGGTCACCTCTTAAGAATTTTGATAATGTGTGTGTGTGTATACATACACACACACACACACACACACACACACACACATATAAAATGTTGGCTGTGTTCTATAGTTTGGCTTAGGTGGTAGTTTAGTGGGTGTTTTCTTTTTTATAAACATTCTTTAAATTCCTTGTGCACGTTTTAATTTTCTTTTTTGCAATTTTTAAAGCTTTTAAAAATAAAAGCCAACACCAGTATCTGACTTGTTAATCATGAGATCATGAGACTGGTACAAGTCTCCATTCTCCTTTTCTTTTCTTTCTTTTTTTTTTTTTAACATCTTGCCATTGACCTTCTACTAGCTAAACGCAAAGGACAGATTTCAGGTTTTTTTATTTTTTTTTTTACTTGAGCTCTTCACAGACCACTGCCTCAAATTGTAGGTTCTAACATTGCCAACTACTCCCACCTTTCTTGAAAAACTCTTTACTCCCACAACAGGCCTCTTCCAGGCTTCTTAACTCAGGCAGTTCCTTCTCAGCCCTTTTCACAGATTCCTCTTCCTTTGCTTTCCCTTTAAACCAGTGGACCTCAACTTCAAAGGCAGTAGGTAACAAAATGTAGATTTCCACATCCCTTCTTTTACATTAACCTTGAGTGAGCTCCAGGAACCTCTATTATTTGAATAAGTAGCCCAAGCAATTCTAACACAGGTGGAACAAAGACTTTACATTGAACAACACTGCCTTGAATGCTGGTGTCTCCCAGCACGTGGATTTGGCCCTAGGATCTTCTACTCTAAACCTAGAGTCCTTACCTTGGATCTAAGAGAGTCTTGTGAAACACTTCTCCACAAATTTTATGTATACTTTGTATATATATAACACCTTCTAAACTTTGTAAGGTTAGAAATTACTCCTCTATTCTTCCTACCGATCTCACTCACATTCACAAACTGAACCACTACTCACACCTCCATGACTTTTAATTCTGTATTACTGTCCCAGAATTATCTGCAACCATCATATCCAATTGTCTACTACTGCATAGTCTTCTCATGCTTCACAAGTACCTTCCACTCAACTTGTTCACCTGCCCCCAACAATTCAATGTTTGCCTCTTCTGTGATCTGGGAAATCTGGGAGTTACACTGGACTCCGCCCTCTTCCTCACTCTCCACATGCCTCACTCTTGACCGCCTCTCCTCCCACATTCTCCTAATTCAGGCCTTCTCCAATTCTCGCTTGCAGCACTACCTTCAATACGCCCTTCCCTATCCTGTTTAACATTCTCTTATAGCTCTTCACCTTCAGTGCAAGGCGGGAACAGCACTGATGGACAAGGCCAGTGGCCATCTGACGTCCGCCTGCATTCCCAGAGCAGTTTGCTTGAACCATGCCCCGCGACTGCTTCCGCCAAAGCCTCGCTCTTCCCTCCTCTTGTCTTGGCCTATCACCTGCTGAATAGCGGGCGGACGAACTGAGGGTCTAAGTGACGGGGACTTGGCGAGTGCCATGAGGCAAGGAAGGGGACTTCGGTGGGGGCTCTGACGCCACTCACCAGCTGCCGGTCGGCCACCGTCCGGTCAGGCACGAGGCTGTAGACCTGGCTCCTCAGCGCGATGGGCGGCAGCGTATCCTCGAACAGGCCTCGCGGAAACAGCTGCACTAGCTCCGCGACTGCCGCGCGCGCCGAGCCTGGGTGGAGAGAATTGTGTCACTGACACGGAACCGGGGCGGGGGGTGGAGAGACAATTACAAGGAGCTGTTCTTTCAGTATCCCCGGTTACCCCGGGGTTGCCATGGTTACCCGACTCGCCCCTCAGAGGATCCACTTCCACAGGCCCTCGCTCCCGTCGCCTCTTCAGTCCAAAGGTCTCTGGTGCCAGACGATGCCTCTTCCGGCTCATATCCCGGTATTTAACGGTACCGGGGAAGGGGCAAACGTAGAGCTAAGGGCTAGTGAAAATGGGGTCTTCCGGCGCACAGTAGTGACGTTGACGTCGCTGGGCGTGGCTTATGAGACCAGGTGACCGACTGACGTAATGACGAAAAAGGCGTCCATTACTCATCTTTCGGGCATTTGCCGGACCGCGGCTTCACGTCTGGGCTGCCACGGATTGGCTCCCTCTGAGAGCATTCCTGTTCAGGGACGGGAAGCGTGGACCGTGCACAGCTGCAGGTGGCCACGTTTGGCCCAAACTTCCGGTGTAAACCTCACCACATCCCGCGTCTGAGGATTTGCAAGCCACAGTCGCTGAATGATTCCGTCATCAAAAGCAGAGAAACCACCTTTGCATCCTTCTTCGGAATTTTTTTTTTTTTCCTTCTTCGGCTTCTCACGTGACTGCCCTTACTCATAGTCTTGCGCAGGTGGAAGGCAAGGTTGGAGAGCTTTGAGGTAACCTGATCCTTCTCTCTTTTGGCGGTACTGGGGTTTGAATTCAGGGCCTCACGCTTGCAAATTAGGCGCTCTACCACTTGAGCCATTCCACCAGACTTACCAGATCCTTGATCTGAACCCAGACTCCCTTCCTGACCACACTGCGTTTGCAGGGCCTAGGAGTTGGAGGTATAGAGCAAGGAAAAGGGCTGCAAAGCACTTGATTGTGGCTGTGTGTGAGGGGCTGGGGCATGCATATTTCAAGGCCAGAACCTGGAAGTCAGGAAGCTTGCTCAGTCCTGACCTACTCTGTAAAACGAAACTTTTTCCCTCAGGACTTCATGGAACCCAGAGAAACCAAGAGAAAAGCTGAGAATATAGAGGTAGCTGAGCCTCGACACAAATCCCTCCACTCAGCACCCTCACTGCCCACAGAGCCTGCCCTCTACTCTGGACCCTTTCCTTTCTACCGGCGCCCTTCTGAACTAGGCTGCTTCTCCCTGGATGCACAACGCCAGTACCATGGAGATGACCGAGCCCTCCGCTACTACAGCCCACCCCCTACCAACAGTTTAGGCCCTGACTTTGACCTCAGGGATGGATATCCTGATCGATACCAGCCCCGCGATGAGGAGCTCCGGGAGGGGCTGGACCACTTGTTACGCTGGCTTCTGGAACACCGAGGCCAGCTGGAGGGGTGAGCTAAGTGTAGCACACAGTAGATCTGGAGGCCTGTCATGCCCTCTAAAGTTAGGAGACCCACAGCTAGAATGATAATCAACCCCTACAGGGGGCTTAAGATTATTCTAAAAGGGTGCCAGATGAGCTAAAGCTTGTGTCAGACCTTCAGCCTCTAACTCTTCCTCTCAGGGGTCCACGCTGGCTGGCAGGGGCCGTAGTGACATGGCGGGGGCATCTGACAAAATTGCTGACCACACCTTATGAGCGGCAGGAGGGCTGGCAGCTGGCAGCCTCACGGTTCCAGGGAACACTGTACCTGAGTGAGGTGGAGACGCCGGCTGCTCGGGCTCAGAGGCTTGCTCGGCCACCCCTCCTCCGGGAGCTTACATACATGGGCTACAAGTTTGAGCAGTACATGTGTGCAGGTGAGACTTGTACCAGCTCTGTGACCCCTTTCCCCTTCCTCAGAGATTGAGTCCCCAATCCTGCTGCTGCTTCTCTCCTTGTGCAGACAAACCTGGAGGCTCCCCAGACCCCTCTGGAGAGGTCAACACCAATGTGGCCTTCTGCTCTGTGCTACGCAGCCGCCTGGGAAACCACCCTCTGCTCTTCTCTGGAGAAGTAGACTGTACAGACCCTCAGGCCCCATCCACACAGCCCCCTACCTGCTATGTGGAACTCAAGACCTCCAAGGAGATGCACAGCCCTGCCCAATGGAGGAGTTTCTACAGGTTCAGGATATGAGTGGGCAGGGTGAGAGCCTAGACTTAACAGCTGGGAAAGAGACCTGGGGAAGAAGGGTTCCCACTGACTTCTTGCCTTTCCTGTTAGACATAAGCTCCTGAAATGGTGGGCTCAGTCGTTCCTCCCAGGGGTCCCAAATGTTGTTGCCGGGTTCCGTAACCCAGAGGGTTTCATCTGTTCCCTCAAGACCTTTCCTACCATGGAGATGTTTGAACATGTCAGGGTAAGTCAATGGTATCAGCTCCCACCTGTATCCCCCTGCCTCCTGCACCCAAGACCACAGGTTCAGAGTCCAGGGCTGTAGTCTATTTTTCCCTTCAGCCATTCCCACCCTCACTACCAGTCTTCTGCCTCCTCTGTCCACTCCAGAATGACCGTGATGGCTGGAATCCCTCTGTGTGCATGAACTTCTGTGCTGCCTTCCTTAGTTTTGCCCAGAGCACAGTTATTGAGGATGACCCCAGGTGAGGCATTCAGCTCTATGCACCCTCTCTGGATCCCAGGAACTCAGACTCCAGCCCTTACATCACACTTCCTTTTGCCCCCAGGCTTGTCCACCTCTTCTCTTGGGAGCCTGGTAGCCCAGTCACTGTGTCTGTACATCGAGATGCACCCTATGCCTTCCTGCCCATGTGGTATGTGGAAGCCATGACCCAGGACCTCCTGTCACCCCCTAAGACACCTTCTCCCAAGGACTGATGCTTCGGAGGGGCTGATCCTGTCTCAGTGAAGATAATAAAGCATATTTCTAAGTGGTTCTCCCTGCTATGTCTGAGCTGAGTAATCCCTGCCCAACACTCCAGTATACTCAGTGGTCTGCTGCTTTATTACACTTTTACTCCAAGGTCATTCACTGGGTATAAAGGCTGGCTGCAAAAACGATGTCCCGCCGTAGCAGAGTGGCTGCTGTCTCCATCTTGGCGCCCAGCACAGGCTCCCCTACCAGGCGGGCTGCCCCTCGCAGTGAGCGACACATCTCAGCGAGGCGCTGGATGCAGCGGACCACCAGGCCTTCAGGGGTCCCAGAGAGCCCTGCTAACTCAGAGAATGGCTGTAGGGAGAGAAGAATAAGGATTGGAATGTGCCAGGCCTGGGTAACCCCAGCTGTCCACAAAACTCCAATCCTCAGGTACTCACCATGCCCCGGGCCCACTCATACACAACCTCAACCAGCCCAAAATTCAGCTCCTCTACAAATTCCTCCACTGTCTGGTTCAGACCACAGGCTGCCTGGACTTCACCAATCCGCTTAGCCACAGCCCGGACACGTTCTACCCCCTGCAGAGAGGGAAGGAGAGGTCAAGGCCTGCCTTCTTGCTCCAGGACTAGGGAGGTCTGGATCAAGAAAGATGTGCCCACTCTCAGAGACACTCACCCTGCTGAAGGGGGGCACCTAGAGGTGGGGGAAATGTCACAGCCCAGGAAAGGTGGTATCCCCTACCTCCTTAAGGGCATTTGGGAGCTGATCCCCAGGGTCCCCAGGGCTCTGGCAGACCAGACCAGAGAGCAGAGCCGCAATCTCTTCAGGTCGCAGAGTGCTCAATGCATTGTCAAACATGAGCTCAGTGAGGAGCAACTCGTGGCTACTCATGGCACAAGCTACCCGTCCTGCCAGCTTCACAGTGCCCGCCTCATCCACATAACCCAGGGTTCGGAGCACCTGTAAGAAAAAGGGTGATAGTGGGTGTTGGGAGCCTGCCATCCCCTCCTACACTACTCCCCCCACCATGTCCCTCCCACCTCTACTCGCTGGTGGTACTCAGGGAGCAGCAGCAGTGACTGATCGGACAGTAGGAAGTGCAGGTGCTCCATCTCCTTCTGTATCTGCATTCGCTCCCGCAGCTTTAGATACTGTAGAGAACAACAGACAGGAGCCTCTGAGCCTTTTCACCCTCAGTAGGGATGCACTAAGGACAAGAGCTGAGGGAGGCGCAGCCAGTCTACTAGGGAACACAGAGGAAAAGCCCCCCTCTTTACTTGGGAGCTACCTGAGTAGGAAAACGGGGGCTATGTACACACTGAGCCCCCTGGATCAGCTCCTCCAGCTTTCGGGCCCGGAGCCCACCTTCAACCACAGACACATCCTTGAGCTGCAGGTCATTGACAGGGTCAAGGGTGGGGGGTCCTGCTGGGTAGGCCTGAGCAAGACGTAGCAATTCCTGGACAGCAGTTGTCACAGCTGCAAGGGGAGGATCTTTCCTAAATAGGAAACAGGTTTTGAGACCTGGGACAAGAGGCTTCTTTGCCATAAGGGCCTGCCTCAGGCCAGGCAAATCCCCCTGCCATCCTTCTACAGTCCCCTTCAGGCTAAGAAAGTCTCCCTTGCACAGCCTCTGCATCTGGTACCACATGCCCCTCCCTGGGAAAAGAAGCCCCATCCCCCAGCATGTCTGACCTGAATTTCGGTTGCTGTCTCTTGCTGAAGTCCTCTAAGATCTTCTCCCCATTCACCCGAAGCACCTTTGTGGTGATGGCAGCCACATCTCCTGGCTGGAGCTTGGCCACAGTGTGGTCACAGGGCCCTGGGAAAAGGGAGAATAGGTAACATCTCACAGTGGACCCAGGCACCCTGCTTACACCACTGTCAACAAACCAGACACCTGCCTCACTCTCACCTTCAGGCAGGAATAGCTTGAAGCCCACAAGGTCATCTGGATGAGGTACATCTGGAGTGGCTGGCCCCCTGTCCTGTGGGTCCTCAGACACAAGCTTATCACACAAGACCAGGGTTGTGAAGACTCTGCTGGTAGAGTTTGAGGAGACCTGGGGGAGGCCGAAAGGCCAGAACAGGGAGGTTAGGAATGAAAATCAAAGGTAGAAACCAGATGCCCATCCTTGGGCAAGGATCAGGGAGCCACCTATGAGCCTACCAGTATGAAGGGGTAACCAAGTCACCCAATTAGAGCAGTTTCCTCTTTTCCCTGCCCCCAGCTATAATACTCAGGGAACAAGAAAAGGAGATGGCATGAAGTGGTGGTGATGGAAGGAAAGGAGAGGAAAATAAGAGTATGGTAGTGGCTGCAACCTGCCCCAGCCAAGGGGGTCAGATGGTGTTAGGGCTTGCTCCCTTGCTCCCTCCCACCCTCTGGGGTCTAAATCCCCATGGTTCTCACCTGAAGGATCACACCCAATGCATTGTGATGCTCCTGATTCTTCACAATCACCACCCTTCCCACTGAGAGAGATTTCAGCCCATTTACAGACTCCATGATGCGTCGCTGAAGAGCAGGATGTGCACAAGGGGATACAGAAGGAGACATCACCAGGACACTGGGACTGAGTTCAGAGCACCCAGGGTGATCCACTGTCTTCCTCCCTTCCCCCATCATCTCCCAACATTCCCACACCCTCACTAACCTGGATCATGTTCCGGGTCTCTGTCAGTTCCTCCCCCCAGCTATAATATTCAGGCAGGTCAACCAGTTGTCCAGTCATGTCGGGTTCCTCCAAGGCTCCCAGCTTCTTGGTTAGTTCAGCTAGAGCCTGCTCATGGGCCTGAGCAGAAGGAGGTTGTGAAACAAGAGACTCCAGACCTAGCCTGCCACACCTTCCACATTCACCCCACTAGCACTAGATGCCCACCCTTCCCAACCTAACTTTGTCTGACTTCCTGCCTGGTCTACTGGTCACCCCAACCATCTCACCTTGCTATCCTTGCGAGATGGAAACTCAGAAAAGCTCCTCTTCATCATGTCCTCCACTCTAAGAGCATCCACCCGTAGCAAGTTGAGGATCATACTATACGTGAGGCGGAACTGGGACTGCAGCTGGGATGGCTTCCCCTGGAGCCAGGTCACAGAAGTCAATGAGACCAGGGTGGAACCTATGCGCCCTAGCCAGTCCTCTGAGGACTGAGTCTACTCAGATCTGGTCCCAGCTCTGCAACTATGCAGCCTCAGATAAACCACCTGTTTATCTCCTCTGTAACATAAGGGAGTAAAATTAAATCAGACTCTCAAAGGCCCTATCTAGCTCTCTATTCACAGTAGCAATAAATCTCTTTCTTGGATTTGCTCACTTCTACCTCCCCTTCTCCCAGGAAAAACAAAAAAAGTCAGAAAAGCAGGTGGGAAGGAGTGAGGGGCAGAGGACTGGGGGAGAGAGAACCCAGCAAATCTCCAGAGGTAGAGTCCTGCCTGGCTTGGCCTCATGCCAGCTCTGCTCACCATCATCATGCGGTGCAGATCTGCCATCTCAGGCACACGGCCCTTGCACAGCAGGATAACAGTGCCTGTAGGGTCCAGGCCCCTCCGGCCGGCCCGGCCTGCCATCTGCACATATTCTCCAGGGAGCAGATCCCGGAAGGTAGAGCCGTCGTGTTTTCTCATGGAGTCAAACACCACTGTACGTGCTGGCATGTTTACACCCATGGCAAAAGTCTCAGTGGCAAACAAGACCTGGGACAGAGGGGAAGAGAGGATCAGTGAAGGGGCTCTGCATACATCCCAGACCTGGCCAAGCCCACCTCACTGTGGCCAAAGCAAAGTAGGCCCAAGTTCAGTCCCTGGTCACTACTTGCAGGATCTCATTTAACTATCCATGCAAATCCCCAAAGTAAGGACTAACGTTTTCCTCATCATGCTTAATGCAGTTTCCTATTGCTTTCCTTTTGCCTCCATATCCCACTTCTAACCCCACTGCAATGATTCCAATGTGCATAACAAAAATCCTTTTGTGTCCAAGAGGCCACGAATAGCCAAGGCAATACTCAGTCAAAAGAACAATGCTGGAGGTATCACGATACCTGACTTCAAACTATATTACAAAGCAATAACAATAAAAACAGCATGGTACTGGCACAAAAACAGACATGAAGACCAGTGGAGAAGAATAGAGGACCCAGATATGAAGCCACACAACTATAACCAACTTGTCTTTGGCAAAGGCGCTAAAAATATACAATGAAGAAAAAGCAGCCTCTTCAACAAAAACTGCTGGGAAAACTGGTTAGCAGTCTGCAAAAAACTGAAACTAGATCCATGTATATCACCCTATACCAATATTAACTCAAAATGGATCAAGGATCTTAGTATCAGACCACAAACTCTAAAGTTGATACAGGAAAGAGTAGGAAATACTCTGGAGTTAATAGGTATAGGTAAGAACTTTCTCAATGGAACCCCAGCAGCACAGCAACTAAGAGATAGCATAGATAAATGGGACTTCATAAAACTAAAAAGCTTCTGTACATCAAAAGAAATGGTCTCTAAACTGAAAAGAACACCCACAGAGTGGGAGAAAATATTTGCCAGCTACACATCAGACAAAGGACTGATAACCAGAATACATAGGGAACTTAAAAAACTAAATTCTCCCAAAATTAATGAACCAATAAAGAAATGGGCAAGTGCCTGAACAGAACTTTCTCAAAAGAAGAAATTCAAATGGCCAAAAAACACATGAAAAAATGCTCACCATCTCTAGCAATAAAGGAAATGCAAATTACAACCACACTAAGATTCCACCTCACCCCTGTTAGAATAGCCATCATCAGCAACACCACCACCAACAGGTGTTGGCGAGGATGCAGGGAAAAAGCAACCCTCTTACACTGTTGGTGGGAATGTAAACTAGTACAACCACTCTGGAAAAAAATTTGGAGTTCTACTTTAAAAGCTAAACATTGATTTACCATTTGATCCAGCAATACCACTCTTGGGGATATACCCAAAAGACTGTGACAGAGGTTACTCCAGAGGCACCTGCACTCCCATGTTTATTGCGGCACTATTCACAATAGCCAAGTTATGGAA